GATTCACACTTTAATAAATAAAAAATATATGTTAAGTAATTCAAAGAGGTACAATGTTCAATGTGCGGAGAAGCAAGGGTTTGAGTTGCATGGTTCACTACCACAGATGTTCAAATTGTTCACCGTTAGCATCCAAGTACTGTTGACAGAAGTGATCAATTCCCGAAACTTTTGGATCGCACCTCGTATAATAAATAATTCAGAGAGGGACAATGTTTAATGTGACATGTACAGTACCTAACAGATGACAATGTGTATTGGAATGATCGCCTGTCATCAGGCAATTTTTTCCCACGAGACAGTGTGTCACGCAAGATGATGCAAGCAATGTAAGTTGATTTTGCGGTGCTTCCGGAAATCTGAGAACACCTGTGAAGTGCAAAGAAGGTGGAGAAATGAACTTGCAACTATGCCACCATAATATACTAGTACTTTCAAGAATTCATGATAAGTTTGATGCTGTGGTACAGTGCATGGTCTCCCAGACCATTGCTAGTATGGTAATGCACAATGTTCTGATAGACCTCACACATCAACAGGTGGGGAAAATGCTGCTGTTGCAAGGCAAGCATCCACACGATCGCATGAAATTGAGGATTCCTGTGCTGCTTTCCCAGCAGAAACCTGTCCACAAGTTTGTTGCACTGTTGCTCACTGCTGTCAACAGTGCTTGGAGACTAACGGTGAACAATTTAAACATCTGTGGTAATGAACCATGCAATTCAAACCCTTGCTTCTCCGCACACTGAACATTGTACCTCTCTGAATTACTTAACATATATTTTTATTTATTAAAGTGTGAATCATTTTTTTTTAGACATCCGGTATATCCAGACCATGTCACTGTCATTGCGCCAACAATAGTAGCAATTAGGCTGGAAGTTATTTCGGAAATACCGAAGCGATGCGGTACCCCACACTCCCTACGCCACTTGATAGGGAGTGGTCAGTAATCCCTGAGCATGGTCCATGGTGTCTTTACGGGGTAGGACAAAATCTCCAGTGGGAGTACTGTGACGTTCCTTTCTGCACATAAACAAATCGTCACGGACAACATCGAAACTATGAGTATTTCAAAAGGAACCTCGCACCATCTTCTGCACCATCCATTCCATTTTGCGATCGCCGTGATTGTGATTCGTGACACCATCTCTCTAAACTTGGATATGCCCTGCTCCGTCGTTCTCAGAATGGGGGCATACGGTTGTTTGTTATGTGCATGCTGTGGTAGCATTGGTACGTTATCATTTTCATAGCACTGTAATAGGGCTGGAATGACCTGCTCTGCCGTGATTCTGCATCGTGCGTCGTGTATGAGAGACTTCCCAGTCTCAATCTAATCGTATTGCATTCTGTTTTCAAACAGTTCCGGTCACGGTATCTATGCCAGCAGGAAAAGAACACTTTGATCGTAACTGGACGCCACTTAGGATAGTCATCATTTTTTGGAGACTCACCTTTCCAAATTCCACTCCTACACCACTTGAGATTTCTCCTCAGTTGGGCCTGGGAATAGCGTTGGACCTCCTTGTGGATTGGAAGAACGGCATCGACATCCAGAGATGTGTGACCTTCATTCGCTCTGCTACTTTTTGCGTAGGCCCTAAACCCTATTGATGCTTTTGGGGGAAGCTACCGACGACTGACTTCATCTATTTTGGTCTAATTAAACGGTAATATACTGCTATCTGGTTGCTGGAAGACGCTCACAAAACTCTACTCTGGAATCCTCGTACTGGAGTATTCGGCATCCTTATGTACGGGTTGCACTTTTTTGTTTTTTGTTTTCTTTTTTTTGCACTTTTGGTTGCACTTTGTTGAAACGAACTTGTGAAGAGATCTGCAAGCCTTAACAAATTATTCTCCATTCACAATTGTGCTCTGTCTGTTACAAATGGTTCTCGACGATAGCACTGCATAGAACTTTTTAAGATAGCTACCTACTCCGAATCAAAGAGAGATCCAAACGCTCCCACTCGTCCTTGCACGAGGTACACGGCACAGAGACTATCCAAAGTGTGAGGTGACCGATTTCCCAAGGCTCGCTTCAGCAAGCCTAGGCAACAGAAGTTCATTGATCTGACGACTTTACAGGAATATCCTTGAGTGTTTCTGTAGTTCCTGTGGCTTTGGCTCAAAAAGGCAACAGTTGCCCTGGAAGTGTGGCTCGATGCCTTGATTATGGACGGACACCTTTGGATGTCCAAATAGATGGGGATTTCTCATCTTCAAAAATCGGCCTCAAAAACATTTTCTTTGATATATTTGCAATCGATCTCGACATTCTTGGCCACTCTGGGGATCTGCGATTTTTCATTATTGCCAATGCCAGCAAAAACCATGAATCCAGGCGAATAATTCCCTTCCAAACCTGGAACCAATTTTTTTACTTTTTTTTATCGGCATGAGGACGGTAGCGAATGGCTCATACTTTTTCGTAGCATCCAGGTAATTCCATGCTTCTATTGGTCGACCACATATATCCACCCCTCTCCTGCTGGTTGGCGTTCATATGGCCATGCTATTTCAATAATTGATCGTTCTCTGCAGCATTATCATGCTGCAGTTTGTACGAGTAAGCACGGGTCTTCTGCTTCTTCTCCAGTCTTTCTTGACAATTTTGTTAATTGTGGAATGCACGGGGTGTGGATGGGTGTTTGTGGATGTTTTTTTTTTCTCTCGACAAGTCCACCAATAATTTGAATGGTCTCTGAAATTCTCTTTGAAGTTTCATGTGACTTATGCGGTTTTTCTCTCCCATCCAGTGAAGCTTCTCGGGCGACTCAAACACTATGAATTATTTTGTGGATTCCTTTAGGTCGCAGATCCTTCGTTCTTGCACCTGTCTATGATCACAGAATACGTGGAACCTTCCTCGGAAGTAGGCAGTAATGTGCCCCTTCCATAAAGCATTGGTCTTCGGAGGCATCTCGCTTCTAAAAGACTTCTTGCTTTCACATTAGAAACTTCAAATACCATACTAGCAGACAGATAATGCAGCAAGAAGTCCTAGCCCAGAAAAGCATCCGGGGCCAGATCAATTTCTTTTCCATAAAATCTACACATGGGTATAGTATCTGTCGGTGTGAGTGTGGCTAAGTGTTTCCGTCGGTGCGTGGTTGTGTCTGTGTCGGTCAAAGTGTACCATTACAGGCGTGGGTTAGCGCATGAGAAACTTTCGCCAACGTTTGTATGGCTTGGCTTCGAACTTCACCAAATGTTAAGGCAACTCTTAATTTGTGTAAATTTTATTTATTTATTGCCTTTAATACCATTTAATGTGGTATGACAATTTCACTTTGCTGAAGTGTGAAAGTAAAAACTTTGAACATGTAGAATGGCTGGAAGTTTTGCTTTTTTTGTTGCCTCGAGGCGCGCTACCGCGCACCGGCAACAGATTGTGTCTCGTGGCATTCTCTAGTGCAGTATCGTGCTCCTCCATATATATATTTTTTATTTTTTATTTCTCATTTCATAATGTATTAAACTTATTTTGCTCGTGTCAACATCCTGAAAATACGCTCGCTATCGGGCCGGGGATTTTCCACCAAGAATCGCTCTAAAGCAGAAACGAGCCGCTCTCGGATGAACGAGGAGCGTGGAAGGAGCATCGATGAACGAGGCCGGCACAGTCCTTCAGCATTGCGATGCTGTTCGGCTGTGCTGCGTTATCGCTACTGCTTCAACGCACGTCGAGCTAAGGAAACTTACTTGGATTCCTCCATGAAGCAAAAAGTGGAGGAATCCCCCCAAAAATTCAGAGGAATCCGCTCGTTTCAAGTAAGGGTTGCGTTTTTTGTTTTCGATTTCGCTGAAATGTTGAATGCATAAGTGTTTTGCAAATGAAAGTTTTTTTTTTAAACTTATATGAACATTCCACAAAATGTATGATTTTTACATTAATTTTTACAAAATTTATGATTTTTACATCGCTTCAAGTCTTTCCGTGACTTTCGGAATCCATGACGTCAGAGTGAGAAGTTTCGTCCCCGATTTCTCTCCTCGCGAAACCTTTAAAGTCGGCGCGCGACGTCGCTTCTTCCTCGAGTGCTTTTCGTTTGGTAAAGGAGTTCTCGTGCGTTCGCGAGCGATTCCTCGGCTTTCGTGGATTTGTGGGGAATTTATGCGAAACCGATTCGCCGATTGCACCGTTCAGGCGCCGATGCTCTCTCGATGGCTCCCGCGGGATTCCGAACCGGATGAATCGCAGAAACGCACGGAACGAGTGAAAACCCTCCCAACCTTTTTTCTCGGGTCTCTCAGTTCATGTAAGGAGAAGGGAAAGCAGGTTTGAGCGACTGAAGAGAGAAATAACCGGTTCCATCTCGATTCTCCTAGACATAAAAAGAGCCCAGGGGCCACGACGTAGCCGCTACGTCAATCCGAGTCGGTTCTTTCCTTCGTCGGGAGACGACGGAGAATTCCTCTTTGCGTTTACGATCACGGCTATCGGAATCGCAAAAAAAAAATGTTTATGGCATTTGTCGTCCTTGAATACGCGAGGAGACTTGGAAAGTTCCAAGTCGCTATCTCGTCCCAGTATGTTTACTCACGGGGAGTTTATTCGATTGATTGAACGTCGATCGAGCTTCTGTTATCTTCCCAGGCAGAAAAGTGCCACCCCGTTATGTTCAGGTCAGATTAAAGACTCATTTATTTTTGCGACATTTAGTGATATTGATCAACTTCACTGAAATGTTATAAGAAATAAAAGTGAATTTGTTCTCAAATGACGATAGCTCTGGGGTCGTGTAACGTTTTCTTTCCCCCCCCCCTCCTATCCACTTTCCCTCTTTTCCAGTGGAGAGGACCAGGATTAGCTCCCCTCTTCAATCCACCCATCCCCCCCCCCCCCCCGAAGTCTGTTCAAGCATTTACTGTGCCGGCCTCGTTCATCGATGCTCCTTCCACGCTCCTCGTTCATCCGAGAGCGGCTCGTTTCTGCTTTAGAGCGATTCTTGGTGGAAAATCCCCGGCCCGATAGCGAGCGTATTTTCAGGATGAAAGTAGGAAAAGTATTAAGTATTAAGAACATGGATAGTAATCAGCCACATCCATGCGTGGATGTGTCTCAACGTTGCAAAGTGAATATCTTTAATCATCTGATATGTATAAATATATATAAATGAATAATTATGAAGCTACCACCCAGGCGGCTTTTTTTCCGCTTTTTTCATTTCTGGGGGGGGGGATTTTTTCTGAACCCGTCTCAAGGTCGTTAGCAAATGTAATGATGCAGCCATGAAGCCTCTGTTTAAATCATTTCTGTAAACGAGCTATGGAAATGGTTGCAAGGCAGAGTTCTGGAGCAATTTAAACCATGACCCTGACTTATGAAGATACTTCATTTACTTCTATAGATTCCCCTTTAGAAGCAGAGTTTCAGATAATTGGTCAAATACTTTAGGAGATTTGAAGGTGCTAGATGCAGACTAGTGAAACTTAGTGGCAGGAAGTGTCCCAAGTATGGGCTGAATGTGTAAGTGCAAATGGGAGTTGTGTGTGAAACTGCATCATCCAGTATTACAGTACATTGTATTGTTAGTGTGAGGGAGACTGCCACGAAAAACCACTGACTGAAAATAATCCAAGAATCTATTCAAAACTGCACTCAATAGCATTCCCTGTGAGTAATTGCAGCACAGGGGATCTCCAAAAAATCTCAAAATAAATTCTTACAAATTCATAAAAGATGAAATGGAAGTATGTTAGCAGGAATAGAACCACTCCCAAGAGAGCCTACAAAAGACTATGTTAATGAGGATGTGATTCTTCTGGGAAGGAACTAACAGGAATGCACAATATATCCATGCTGAAAAGCCACTTTGGATGCACCTGACAAATGCATTCATGGTGTTTCTTGCAACAGGCTCAACAAGGTAGCAAAACCCCAGGAATTCTGCACAAGGTGTGTTAAGGAGTAATGTGGAAGATGAGTGACAAGATTAACAAGAGAAAACTTCAGGATGGATGCATGCTTTAGATTTTGACACACACAGTCTTCAGTTCAGTATAGAAGTGGAGAGATTCATGGATGCCTTCCCGTCCACGGCCACTTCCCTTGGTGCCTCCAAACGGCATGTCCAGACTGCGTACCATCCAACAATTGCACCACACGGTCCCAACCTGCCCATACATACATGCACACATGATAGAATTGGCTCACATTCAACAATTGTGGGATCAACAATACTTGCTTTGAAAAAATCTTATTTTGTTTTGACACTTGGTCAATTCCCACCCTTGCAGGGGTGAGGTACTATCTTTAGTGAATATAGCCTGAATAAAACCAAACAAAAAATGAAAAGATATGGGAATTTCGTTTTGTAACACATTCAGTTGTTCTCTCTTTCTTCTTCTTTCTTATTTCCTAAGGATTGTAATTACTTAGGAGATAAGAAAGAAGAAGAAAGAGAGAACAACTGTCCATTGCTCTTGTAGGCATCCTGTTCTGTGGAAAAGTAAGCCATATTGATGCAGCTAAATTCCCTGGCATTGGTTTTTGCATCTAATTTTGGAAAATACCATTCAGCAGAAAATTTAAATCATAGCTTGCAACACTAGACAGATAACGAGCCGCAGTATACTGCAGGAGTGTTGATGAAGAGATAAGTAGTGAGAGAACAAACCTTGAGCTCATTAGCAACCCTGTGGATGACAGAAACATCTCTGGCCCAAACAGATGCACAGAGTCCATAAGGAACTTGGTTTGCTCTGCCAATCACCTCCTCCTCTGTCTCAAAAGGTACAATGCACACAACTGGGCCAAAAATCTCCTCTTGCATGCAGGTAGATGTGTCCAGCAGATCCGTTATCACAGTGGGGGGAAAGTAGTATCCCTACCATAAAAAATATTAAAAAACAAAAGTAAGATTAATTACAATTAGAGGGTAGGAGTGACCTAGGCTACTTGGACATAAATCAAGAATCCATTCACTGTACTTCCTCTAAAAAGTTCAACTGCATCAATACATTATGCAATTGGGAGAGAAGCATGGGCAGCTCATGATATTCAGCAGAAGTGTTTTACCAATGGAGGCAGGGTTAGCCTGGGTCTACCTTATCCCCATTAAGAATCCACTACTGCTGAATATCACAAGCCACCACTGGAGAGAAGAGAATCACAATTGTCAAGAATAGGCCTAACTGAATAAGCATAATTCTCAGTTTTGAATTACTGTCCCTTGCAAAGGAAGGTTTCATTACCTAATCCTAGGAGACAGAAAATTTCCTATTTTATTTTCCAAGTCATGGTACCTTTTCAAAGCCCTCAGGAAGATCCAAAGAGTCAACAGAGAATCCACAACGAATTGTGCCCCCTTCCTGGCCAGCAATATTCACGTAGTGTGACACCTTGTCCCAATGAGTCCTGCTTATCAATGCACCAAGGAATGTACTCTTCTCTCCTGGGGGACCCACCTTCAGATTCCTTTTGCAAAAAAAGAGCTGAGTCATGCAAATAAACTTGTATTCCTTAGTTTGGGTAAGCTTAATGTACAAGTACCAAAAGCTTTCAAAAGCAAGAAAGAGTCTTTAAAATGACTGGCATAAGTACCAGTCCATGCAAATAATGCATAAGCAAATTAATAATAATAATAATGGATAAGCAAATGGAGCTAAGTTACAAGAAACATTCCATACATTTGAAGAGTACAACTTTGTCAGCATGAAATCTGCCATCCACTAACAAATGGAACCAGGATGTGCACTAATGAACACACATTCATATTAAAAATTCTAAAAAAATTACAACATTTGTGCCTCCACTCCTTCCACTGAATCACATTGGACAATAAACATGAAGTATGATATTTGTCTCCTTGACTCTGCCATTCCTAATCTTTTAAAATGCCTTTTATGGCAGATCAACCCATGAGAATGTTTCTAAGATATTGGAATTGGGATAAGAGACAGACCTTGCAGAAGAGATGAATTTCTGGAGGAAGGGCTGAAAGATGGTGTTTTGAACAAAGAGACGAGAGGTGCAGAGGCAAACCTCTCCCTGGTTGATGAAACATGACCTCATGAGAACTGGGATGACCTGATCAATATCCACATCTCCAAAGACAATCCCTGCATTCTTCCCACCAAGCTGTAGAGAACAGCATGAAAGATTAGGAACCTCAGCACACATCCAAATTTGCACCAAGATTGATTCTTCATTAATGCCTGAATAAATTTGCAAATAAATTCAATAAATGGGACATTCACCTCAAGAGAGAGCCTCTTCATCTGAGGAGCAGCCAATTCTGAGATTCTCTTTCCCACAACTGTACTTCCCGTGAACGAAATCAGGGAGACATCTGGGTGTGTCACTAAATGCTCCCCAGCTTTCTTCCCACTCCCAAAAACCATATTCACAACACCTTTGGGCAAACCTACAAAATGAAAGCAAGACTTTCCTTAACTGCACTTTTTTTGTACAGAGGGAAGCCATAGCAGGCATGCATCTAGCTGGCAACCTATGCTAATACAGTCTCCTTTGAATGCACAGCTTTTCATTCTGATTACAACAGTTTTCACTTCATTATTGAGCATTTTAAAAAGAAATATTGTCCATAATAAGTCTACTGCAACATTCACTAATCAATTTTCCATATTTTCAGAGACTTTTTGGAAAAGGTAAACTAGCAAAACCCAACTTTTTTCATATGATTCTGGCCTCACTAATTGACATTAATCAATTAACCTCATTTTTCTGGTTATAATACTTGATCTACAACTACACCAAATTTCATCATTCAACTCTGTAAGGCTTATTTTGGCTATACCACCTAATCCACCAAATTACCTACATCCAAAAGCAGAAAAATTGTGCTGGTCCAAACTTTGCAATTTTTTTCCCTAGAATTGTAACATTTTCCAAAATACATTGAAGGCAACCTCATCACTCAAGACTATCACAGGAAAAAAAAAAACCAACACATTGTGATAATTAGCAACTGAGATAGTCACCTGAACTTAAGAAGCAAAGGGAGAAATTTATTAAAAGAAAAAGATGACCAAGAGGAACTTACCAGCTTCAAGTAGGACATCACAGAGCATATAGGCTGTTAGACTGGTCATCTCACTGGGTTTGCAAACAACTGTGTTTCCACAAATGATCGCAGGAGCAATTTTGAATGTAAGCAAATATAGAGGTAAGTTCCATGGGCTGATTAAGGCTGCAACTCCAATTGGCTCCCTCCGAGTATAACTCAGAGCTTCAAATTCACCTTGATATGTGGATCTGAAGTGAAAAGAACCAAAATAGCATCATTGTCATACAATGTATCAATAACGAGGAGTTGGTCCATTGCAACATAAAGTGTAAACAAACAGGAAAAGCCAAGACATTTACCACTAATTAGATGAATCACTCCAGAAACTATTGTGTCAGAGATTCATGCGCATGTGGAAATGTAGTATTGACTGCTTTCTCTTTTCCTGCTATAAGACTTTCAAAAAACTTTTAGGAAATAAGGCCAAGGAGTCAGGGAGAAAATTTAAAACAATAAAAGTAGTATATTATACTTAGCATACCTATGTGGCAAAATTCATGAACTTTTTGTCAGGAGTTGACATGAAGCTTCTCCTGATAAAAGTTATCATCTGACACAGAAGCCAGTGCCTAAAGGCCTGAGAAGCATACTTTTCCATGATGTGAGGGACAGCTTCTGCAAACTGTCTGAAGTTGGTGACAGCTCTGGGAATGTCCACACTTTGAGCAAGCCATACTGGTTTCCCTTGGTCTGTACTCTCAGCCTGAGCAAATTCCTCCAAGCGGACTTCAAGGAGGTCAGCTATCTTGAGCAGGTACTTGGCCCGATCTCGAATGGGCAGCTGTGACCACCTACACAAACAAAGGATAAAAGCATACTGACTCTTCACTATGCTTTGTCTGTACAGAACATCCTCTATTTAAGGAGAATCTTGGAAAACCTCAAAAGCTGATGAGATGGGTCAAGAGTTAGCAATGATCTCTTTGTTGAAGTTAAATAGCTTGGAATTTTAGCCATCTCATATAAACAAAGATGGAAACATTCTATAAATCAGAGTAAACAATCATTCCTGAGGGCATATCATTAGAATACTGTACCAAGGCAGATTAAATGATTCTGCAGAAAAAACAAAACCCAAATAAGACTGTACTCTGGCTCCAATTGGAAAACCAGGAGATTTTTTGAGTTAAAATCCCTTGCAAAACAAGTTAGAACTATCCATAATTTTGTCCTTTTGAATTATTAAACCTCATTTCTGACTGTTACTGATTGGAACCTCAATTACAGATAGGACCTCAGTGCAGTGGTAACATGACTGTTGTCATTCAAGTTTTTTCTATCCTTCATCATGAAGCCAACATGAGATAACTAAGGTGCTGTCCCCAAAAGGTTAATCAGGGCATGGGGGATGAATGCATACCTTCCTCACAACACAACAAATCTCCAGCCCTAATAGTGATGGTATGATGACAAAATAATGTGCTACCTGTATCATATTGAGAGTTGTCCACATTTGTACATTTGTAATTTCTCATATTACTGTCACCATAGAACATCATGCACATTGGACTCATACCTCATGCCCTCACTGATGATTAGCTCTAATTTTCAAAATTCAGACACCCTGTACAGCACATATTAATTTGCTTTATTGGGACCTCTTTTTTTTTTCATTTCACAGGATAAGCCTAAGTTTTAGTGGTCATAAAACCTTAAGTATGGTATGACCAGAATAAAAACATGTATGATACTTAGTAATGAATTCAGAAGAAGCATCCTGCAACGAGATATGACTTAAAACACTAGAAACACTTCCAAAGTTCCTTCAAGTATTTGTTCACTTACTTGATAAATGCTTCAGAGGCAGCTCTAACAGCTTCATTCACGTCTTGAGCTGTGCTTTCAGGAACCCTGACATGCACCTTTCCTGTAGATGGGTTGAAGCTCTCAATATATGTAGCTGAATTTCCCTGGAATTCATTATTGATGAAGTTTCTCAGGAAGACAGTGGCCGTTTCAGTGCAAGGCATTTTGTCCCATCAACAGCAACCACTGCTCATCTGGCAGAAAACATCCAACCTTTAGGATGTAAATCCTATCCTTGTGTGGAAATACCAAAAAGATACAAGAGAAATCAAATAACAACTGTCATAAGGGCATATGATTAAGGACATTACTCACCTCTAGGTCAACACAGAATGCTGCAACAAAGTTGTTGGGTCCTCAGGATTATTGTATCAAAGTAGCCAGTGTATCAGAAGCACCGTATCACAGTAAACTACGAGGCGAATGATCTACTACAGGTTAACGATGTGACCGACATAGATGTAATATAAAATTCGAGAAATAATTTCTGGCGTGTAATAGGCCTACTAATACAAAAAGTATTTTCCCGAAAGCCAGAGGAAGAATATAACATAACCTTCATAGATTCGTAACATGAATGGGAGTTCTCGTCCCATAGCCGGACTGAAATTACTTTTGGTTCAAATTTAAGTAATTAACATGAGTCCAGCCGTCCATTCTAACACATCACGGAGCGTGCATTGAAGTGCGAGTCTGCTTCCCTCTACCCATGGAGCTGCTGCTGATAGCGTAGTAGTGAGAAGTGAAGTCAAGTACTTAAATATAATATTGGCGTTGGATGGAAGTACTTAATTTCTCTTGTAGCACTTTAAGTGCATATTTAAGTACTGCACATACTTCCCTTTCCTATTGTATAATGTTCTTTCTTGCGTAAAGTCCACAGCTGAACTTGACCTACTTTTACAATCATGCAAATATCCTTTTCTTAGAATTTTCATGCATTTCATTCAGGTAAACCTTCACTATCAATAGAACTTCATATCAATCTTTTCCACAATTTTCCCATTGGCAACCCTGCTACCTGGCAACCAGTTGTAGACCGCCCACATGACTGATTCGTCTTCAAAAGTACCTTGTAGTAGTGGTGGTTCAGTTACTGACCGGCAATTCTAGGGTGATGTATATATGTGATTGATGTTAACCAGGAAGATGGCTGTCCTTGAACATGACCTCTTCCAGCATTTATGTCCTGTTCTGTGCGTCTTTAATGTTAAACTTAAGGATTAAACGACCTATCTTAGAACAACGAATATCTTTACCTTAGGAAGTTCATTCCCTTAACCCCTCAAGCCTGTATTTAAATTGTTAACCACCTGTGGCAAAGAAAACGTCGTCCGTACGGGGTAGAGCAAACCGACCTAAGGAGTTAATCATCTCTAGCGTGTATGGCTTGTAGACAATTTCGTCGTAGTTTAGAGTCACTCTAGCCTAGTATAACGTTGTCATATGTTTCCTTTTCGGAAGTCATAAAACAGCATGCATGGAGTTAAAATAGGCCGACATATTTTTTTAATTGCGTTTATGGTACCTGGTAGCCTTTCTGCATTGTATCATTATGAGATGTATAGGGAATGAAGAGGGAGGTCTCTCTTTTCCAGCAACTCCTTGCCAAGCTGGAGCTGTGGTACTTAAGCCTGGTCCTTGAAGTTACTAGAAACTACCCTGCCTCCTGGAAAGTACTGCCCAAAATTTCTTGGAAACAAACTCACAGCCTAATTGGGTAAATTTGGTTGTAGGGTTAGGACCACAAATGCAGACTGAAGTCTTCCACTCAAATATATCTATGATTCCATGGTACCTGCAACTTGATAAGTTGAGGTCTTGTTTAGCACTGGCTCTGAGTTGGGTGACCACTTGAAATGTGTTATAGCTAATTGTTGTGTTTCCAGTGGTTTTAATGGATATTAGATAGTATGGAATGTCCTGAAATCCTAATGTTAAATTTTAGGACAAAAGGAATAATGTGCAAAATTTTCAAAATGAAGTTCAAGCTAAAGAAAATAGTGGAAATGTAATATCTTGGTTCAGTAGTCAATTGAAAGAACTATATATGAAAGGCAATGGTGTTGCTGCCAGATATCCATATTCAAAGTAAATTCATTGTTCTCATAATGCATTTTGGTTTCTAGCCTTTTTGGGGATAATTACCTCCCCATCCCCTGTCCTCAGGATCCTTTGCTTCCCAAGGTTCTTTCACTATCTGTTCCATAATTAAAGGTAGAGTTTTCCTTATTTTTATCACATTCATTTGGTCTGTCCTACTTGGGGCAATATTTGTCTGACAACTTGAAGTAGTAATTAAGGTCTGGATTTGAATATCTCCTCATTATATTACTTTACTGCAGCTATGTGGACTATGAACTTTTTTACTGGGACTGTGTATTCAATGATAATGGTCTTAATAGCAATGATACTAGTGGAAACCATACCTGTGTGGTCATTTAGACAGTCTTTTGACTCGAATGACAGCCAAATGGCATTGGTTCAGTCTTACACCCCTTACCTTTTCTTTTGAGTAGCTGGGGGGGGGTAATTACTGTAGTAAGTCTTTTATAGGATCTGCTAATCCCATGTTGCAACCTTCCTTTAATTCCAGTAGAAGTAGTTTTCATTACATGCAAGCTTTTTCCATGCCACATTGATGCAATTATGAAAAGTCCCATCTTCAGCTTTTTAGATTTTCTCAAGGTGCTGGAATGAAATAAAATCCCATGTTTAATATTGAGCTCTATCATTTTCTTATAATATGAGACTTCTTCAAAAGGAGGAAATACACTTCTCCCTTAGCAAGAGCTAACATAGCACTTAATCAAATAGCAGTAGAGACCATGAAGGACAAGGAAAAGCACACTCACCTGCATAGGTCTGAGGCCTCATGTCTGCACTTTGGCTACTGAACAAAACCTCAACATGTCCCAAATGTATCACCCATGATATGCATGGCAGCAAAGGTGTGTTAAGCAGGGTTACCTGCAAAGTGAACAAGCATGTCAGGCAGACATGTTTTCCCCTCTGGGGATTAGATCTGCAGTGGCATAGGGAAGGGGAGGGTTTAGAAGGGTTAGAACATCCCCCCTTGGGCTTCCTGGTCAGTGTCACTGACAGGCGTATTTCGACTTTGGGAATTCCCATTTTAGCTTTCCCCTTTTGAGGAAAGTTCAATGTCCATCCGTAAACCCAAGATGCCAGACAATTTCTTCAAATAGGTAAACCCCAGGTAGTGGAGTTAAGTATTGGGTTTGGGTGTCTACCTGTCTGCCTACGCTGCTGTAGACCTGGACCAATAACTCAGCTCCATCAACAATCCCAGCCAGTTCTCTTTCCATGCCATTATTGCTGCACCACTTGTCTGTCCTATGGAAAGGATGGAGAAAGCAGCAGGGGAGATAGTGGGACATTTAGAAGTCTCCACAAGAAGAAAGTTTCCTTCATCCAGCCCCCCCTCTCCTCACCCACCAGACATCATACTTATACTTCAGGAACTAAAAACCTGTTCTGGTTGTGTTGGCAACTTGCCTGTTTCAAGGATTTTCTGTGAGAGAACCTCGGTTCAAATTTATGTTATACAGAAAAGACCTTGAAAATGTAAGACAGAACTATTTAGAGGCAATATTGCACTGATTTCACAGACTGTTATTTGGATATAGACATAGGCCTACAGTTAGAACCTAGCTTTTTCAAATCTGTGTCTCACATTTAAGTTTCTCCTAACCCCTCAATGAGGGTTTAGCAATTCTTGTAGCATTCTAAATACTATACCATTCCAAAAAAAGAGCAATGGAGAGGTAGCAGGTGGGATGATTCCTTCCATCTTTCCTTGATTGCCCTATTGGAACTCCTACGTGTCATCATGTATTATATCCTAAATCAAAGGGAACTAAGAAAAGTTCAAAACATGAGGAAATCATTATGATTGAAATTTCAAAACAATGAAAGAGGAAAGAGTGATTAATCTGGGTCAAGGTTGGAACTCAAGGTCAGGGAGAGTGCTATTTTTTCTTGGATTGGTGCAATATGTTAGGGTATTTAATTGGCTATTGTATATAGGTGTCACCAATACAACTGCTACATCTAATGTTCTGGGTTAGGACACCAGCTTAACATTTCCCATTGTTGTTCTAGGTTGACTGTTTTTTACTGGCTGTGAGTGTATAGATAGGGCCCCCTTGTTGAACATTGTTACAGTTGCTTTTTGGCCAGCACATCAAAATAATTTTTTCAAGCATGGTGGAACCCATGTCTCTAGGGTCTCCAACGACCACACATTCTATAGTAGCTGCCCACAGCCTTCCTTCTTTTTTGATGGGAGATTCATCTTCACCTCGTTCTCCCTCAGTGAGTTTTTTTTTGTTCTAGCTTTACCCTTTAACCCTATATCTTAAGAAGCACAGATAAATATATCCTGAGAAACACAAGGGATGGAATATTAACCATTGCTTATTCAAACATGTCAGAGACAGACTGTCAAAAGGAATGGAAGGATGAAAGAGGAACAACTGAAATGAAATGAATTTGTCAAGAATTGAAATAAGTGATGAGGGTAAAAAATCACGTCGAGCATAACACTAGGAGTCTGCATTAGCTATCAGCTTGCAACATAGTCCTTTTCATGGATAGTATTTTATTAGTCTTGAAGCTTCCCCTATGCATGATGTTTATGCTAATTGGAGTATTTTAATTGTCAGCACAGCCAATTTGAGCTTTTCCCATTCCTCATATAAAATGTATAACTTGGCAGCTATCCTGCCTAGAGTGTTGCAGTTTTTAATATTTTGAATAAGTGATTGGAAATGTTTTAAATGAGATAACTCGAGCTTGGGTTGAGCAGAAGACAACTTGAACAACACAAGACAACCTGATCTGTGAATGCCAATGGGTCAAGGCCTGTGCCAAAAAATGAAGTTAAAATAATTTATGTATCAAGCTTTCTGTCAAAAAGATGCCAAAAAAGATCTTTGGCCTAGGGCCTCAATTGAGTTATTGTTGTGTTGGCATAATATGTAGTATCCTTTTCAAATTTGTGTTGTTTCATTGTTCCCTGTCCCACATTACCATTGACCAGCTGCATTTGCTTTTTCTGATGTCATAGCTTATTGAGAACATTCGTACAAGGGTCACTCTGACTGTTTCTGGATACAGCAAGTAGAAAGCAGCTTGGCTTAATTTAGTCATTACTCCCTTTTGGAGAATTCTCCCTGAGCATTAATACAATTTCTCATCCTTGTGAGCCATTTCTCAAACTAGTTTTTCCTCAGATATTGAGATGTACAAAATCACTGAAATAAGTTTAGCAACTTCTATATCTTGGAGATTAAAAATGGTGTCCATGGAGCATTTACTTAAAGAAGTCACACCAGGGCCAGGTCTCCAGATCTGGATGAGAGAGTGGGTGTGGAAGCACCCTGATCCCAGACTCATGAGGAACTCCAATGTGAGGGTGACAGTGTGACAGGATGCATTGTCATGATGGAGCATCCATGGTTTCAAGGATGACTTGGTCCTGCACAAGTATGCTAAAATTAAGTGGAGGTGTAACACCTTGGAAAATTAGAATTTTATTGTACCTGAACCCATCTGTTTTGGAATTTTTCTTGTGGGGTTATGTCAAGGACATTGCTTGCTAAAGAAAAGTTGACAATCTCAAAGATCTGAAGAACAGAATTGTCGCAGCTATCCAGACGGTTACACATGACACCCTGCGTAAGGTGTGGTAAGAGCTCAAGAGTTTGGACGTCTTTGGATTTTCTTTTGAGACCCTGTTCTTGAGATATCCCCATAAGAAGAAATCACACAGTTTTAGGTCTGGTGGCACAGGAGGCCATGTCATGACCACCGTCACGAAGTTGAGGGTACTTGTTAGACAGGACTCTCAGACCAAAATTTTACTGCAGAAAGTTCAAAAATTGCATTTGCTATTGTTGATGAGGTCTTGTGCTGTCCTGCTGAAACCAAATTCTGTCCATATCATTGTCTTGGCTCATAAAAACAGGATGAACTATTCTTGGAAGATGCAGAGCTAAATATTTTGGTCCACTATCATGTCAATAAAGACTGGGCCTAAGATCACACTTGATGGCATTGAGCACCACACTGTGACACGTAACAGATGGAGTAGGTTATCCACAGAAAGTACACTGCCCTGGACTAGCCATGTAATTTCACAAAGGGGAGGACACTTTGAGCATGTTGTGTGCCTGAAAAAAAAAAACTCCTATACTTCCACAATAATTGTGCCAAGTTTCATGAATATAAGTTGATCCATTGATTATAAATTAATTTTTGAAAGTGTGATATAATTAAAGAATCACCCTGCACTTTGCTTGCTTTAGAGAATACCTGGTCTGTCGTAACTTGAAATGGCAGTAGAAACCTTGCTAGGCATTACTTTCTTATCACCAGCATATAGCTTGTTTTCATGTTTTGCTCAAGTTCAAGGTTTGAGGTTTGGTTAGTGTGCTACTGCAACTTTTTGTGTTTTGCTGAAAAATCTGACATCTCTGTGTTGCTATTGGAAAGTATGATGAATGGGATGAAAAAAACCTTGGGGGAGGGGAGTTTTTCCTACTGTATTTCTCATGAACAAGAGCATCTTGCTGTACAAGGTGATTCCCTTTCAGAAATTATGCCATTCAAATCTAGTAACCTTCAATGACTTCCTGTATAATTAGGAAATGTTTGGAGGTGATTTATCCACTAATTTTTTTCATGTCTGGCCTCATCACTCCTCTTCCTTTTATCATTGTAGCAGGACAATGTTGTATCACACAATAGCCAAGTTTGAAAATAGAGTGAAAACACACTTATGGATAAAAGGGAGACTGAATGCTTACAAGCCTGGAAAAATGAAAAAGAAACTGGTACATGAAATGAAAATATAGGACATTGCCTTTGACAGCATTAATAAAAGTTGAATCATATGACCCTACAGAAACCAGGAATCAAATTTGTTTGAGGATAAGGATTGTAGGTCTCACTGCAAAAGACACTAAGAAGCATTTCTTATTTTGCACTGGCTTGGTTTCTCTACTGTTAGGCTGGGGCCTCCCGTCTCTTTCATGGCAGTCCACAAAAGCCATCAGCTACGTCCAGTTTCAGCTACAGTAGTCATCATCCATCACCATCTGGCTATGCTCCCACAACTCCTATGCCGAGGTAAGGTCATGATTGGAAGGAAAAGTAGATTTTGAGGCATGCCTCTTTGTACTTGATCATGCGGTGTTAACTTTGCCGCATTTGGACTTTTATTTCCATAGAAATAAATATTCCAAGTATAAATGAAAGAGAGTACCATTGCCATTTTTGCCCAGCTGCATGATGGATTAATTGTTCACTGAAGAGTCAAAGATCCTAAATGGATCAAGAAATAGGTCTTCCCAAATCAGGAAATTGGTAGAAGTCTAATAATACTCATTTAATCTTGTCTTACCTACAGTTTGACAAGGTGACACTTTCCTGATGTTCCACTTTTGGTAAATTTCTTGTTGGAAATCATTTATAGGGTAAACACCCCAGTTTTGGCCACGCTAATATGACTCCCATAGGAAGTGGACACCCTGTGTGCACACTGGGAAACACTAATAATAGGTCCTCGTATGGGATGATGTTGATAGAATGCTTGAAAATGGCCAGGTTAACTAAATATGCTGGATTTAAGCCTCACTAGCCAATAACTGGAGACTGGCCAGAAACCAGGGTGCTTACCCTATGTATGATGAATCAGGGAAATTATGAAGATGGTTCAGACTTTCATTGATAGGATTTAATTAAAGAAACATACTGTTCCATTGAGGGACCTAGTGCCATAAATTTGAAATTGCTTTATCTATCTGGATGTTCACTCATGTGCTTCAGCCCAGACATTCAGGATTCACTATATCTTGAGACCTGTACATATATTTGTAAAAGCCTTGTTATTATTACTAGGTTGAGGAAAAAGTTCGTGCGCCGTATTAAAATAATGATTTTTTATATTTTTTTTGTGTTTTTGATCTGGTTTCGTGGCAATTATGAAATTTTATTGATTTTTTAAGATGTCTGATTACGAAATCACGAATTTTGAGCTTCGGGTATTGCTGCGTCATTATTGGAGAAAGAATTTGGATGCAAGAGCAGCTGCCAAAGCAATTTGTGACGTTGAAGGTGAAGGTATGGTGGCACCACGAACTGCACAGAAATGGTTCAAGCGTTTCAATGAAGGCGATTTAGATCTTGAAGACAGGCCACATTCCGGACGAAGGAGACTTGCAAGCCGCTTTGGATGTTGAGCTGTCATCAAGCACACGCGAATTGGCTGAAGAACTTGGTGTCGATCAGAAGACAGTTTGGAATCATCTCAAGCAACTTGACTTCGTCCACAAAAAGCCATGACAAGATCCACACGAGTTGACCGAAGCGCAAGCCGCCAAANTCCAAACTGTCTTCTGATCGACACCAAGTTCTTCAGCCAATTCGCGTGTGCTTGATGACGGCTCAACATCCAAAGCGGCTTGCAAGTCTCCTTCGTCCAGAACCGTTGGTCGTCCGGAACGTGGCCTGTCTTCAAGATCCAAATCGCCTTCATTGAAACGCTTGAACCATTTCTGTGCAGTTCGCGGTGCCACCGTACCTTCACCTTCAACGTCGCAAATTGCTTTGGCAGCTGCTCTTGCATCCAAATTCTTTCTCCAATAATGATGCAGCAATACGGGAAGCTCAAAATTTGTGATTTCGTAATCAGACATCTTTAAAAATCATTATTTTAATACAGTGCACAAACTTTTTCCTCAACCTAGTAATTCATTAACCCATATAGTACCAAAGTTGAGAGGCTGGCAATAAAAGGGTTGAGGGCCCTCATAACATTTAACTCTTATGCAGTTTCATCTTAATATTGTACTATAATTCAAAAAGTTTCTACCAAAAAATCTGGCAAATTAAGAAGATACCCTTGAAAGTCTACCATCCTCCAGAGATTTTATATGGAACTTCCAGCCTTTCGCCTTGAAGTGCAGCCTGTTAATCATGTTAACTGCCAAATATCCTGGCCCATTTCAATGAATACAATAATAAACAACCTGCTCATGTCTTGTATGGCTGTTAACATATTAAGAGTGTTCAAAGTTCAAAACACATTTTCTGGAATTCATTTTTATGTAGTTTATTGAAATGCAATTGATTTATTTTTCATCTCATCAAAGTCAAATGAAACCTTGTTTTAACTGAGGATGATATGCACCAACTTGAGGTACATATTCCTCCATGGATACAGATTTCATCTTATCTCCACAGGCAATCTGGGAATGATACTCCAAATCTCAATACATCCCTCTTTGCACCTTGGGGTTCAAGTGGTGGTGAAAGGTCAGTTTCTTGAGAGAAAAGAAGACAACAGGCTACTTGGTAGAGTGACTCACTTCATTTTTATATCTCTGGACATTCTCATATTCTGCTCCCACATAATATAGAAGTCCTGAGGGGACTGAGATCTTTGATCAAGTGATTTGCTCTTCCAACTAAAATCTGAAGAGGCATGGAATTTGGTTCAGATGGAGGGTGTGCTTTTCTATGTCAACAGGTGACCCACTTCTTTTCAGGAGTATTTCCCTAATGCTGGGATGACTTAGGCACCACTTCATGGGTGTAATACATAATGAAAGTTATTTGTGGGCCAAAGCATGAGCTACACCTAGGCCTGCTTCATGGCCAGTAATGCATGTCTGGAATTCACCACATATTCTGCTCTTTCATGAAATAAATCCAAAGGGAAAATTCTCTTGGATCCATTCCACCTATTCATAAGCTCATTTTTGTTTTCATTTTAATTCTTGCTATTAGGATCTTTATTCTTCTCCCACAGCAGTTCACTGGACAGACAGAAAGGGGAAGACACTTGGGTGACCGTTTTTGGCTTTCCCTCTGGTGCTACCTCATACATACTGAATCAGTTTGGGGCTCTTGGCACAATTGATGAACATGATATCCCTGGAAATGGCAATTGGATCCACCTACATTATCAAACTCCACTCCAAGCCTCAAAGGCCCTATCTCGCAATGGACGTGTACTCACTAATCACATCATGGTTGGAGTTCTTCGTGGTCGACACCCCCATCCTTCTATGAATCAGGTTTGTCTGCATTTCACATGAAAGAGGAACAAGGAGAAATAGGCTTTTCATCAAATGATCAAAGTGACAACTCTCTTTGGTGGCCAGTGGCTATTGAAGCACCAAAAACTATACCATTGTTTTGAAAAATCCAGAAGCCACTTACACCAAATAGCTGGAATTTCTTTTGCTTAAAGCAGCAAGTTCCTTTATGCTGCCTAAAAAAGGTTTAAACATTCATGACTTGAGATTTAGGTCAATTTATCTCAACTATATGGTTAGTGGTAAATTCAAAATTGATTAATATGTTAACCTTTTTTTTTTTTTTAAATTTACCTTTTGTTCACTATGTCTTCCTTAGGACATTGTTACAATTCTCAACATTTTTAGTGATTGGTTCTGTATTCTCTGAGCAACAAGTGCTCAGGAAGGTTTTTGATATTTCTTTCAACCCAACAGCCTCGGAATATATCTCTAGCATTTTTTTTGTACAAGTGTTTTATGCAGTTATTAAGAAAGAACTCAAAAGTAACATCCATAAAGAATACCTTGGACTGAAAAAGTAGGCCACAGATGGGATGGGTTCCTCTATGGTGTTTTCAGCATTGTCATCCTCACATTAAACTTAAAATTGTATAAATGCCAACATGAATTGTAGTATAGTATCCTTTCTAACAAAAAGGTTCAACAATCAATGCAAACAGATGTGAGAAGGAAAAGGGGTGGAAATCACATAGAGAATAGGAGATAAGGAGGAAGTAGAGGAGTGCAAAAGCACTTGAATAAAAGTAGTTGACGCTGAGTCATGCCTACAATCATCTGCTTTCACTCCATACAAGGACAGACTTGGCCTTTCTTGGCTGGAAAAAAATAGTCAACTCTGTCACCCATTGCATCTCTCATAACCAGATGAAAGCATCTCTATGCTCAATGTAAGTTACATAATGTAAACAGCTTTAGGAATAGAAATCATACCTGGAAACCTTGTAATCCAGAAAGTTCTTAATGTGTGGAAGTAAAGTTAAAAAGTAAGTCTCTAAAAGGTTCATTTCACATCCAAAAATCAGGTCCTCTCCTGTTTTGGCTCCCACATGGGCAGAGGCTCTTAAACCTAGTTCATTCTGAATGAGTCATGCTCAGATTTTTCCATAGGCTGCTCAGTGCTCCACCATCTGTTGAAAAGCATAGAAAATTATGCCCTACTGATACTAGTTGCCAGACATGTTTCTGAAAATTTAACTTTTTGTAGCCAATGGTGAATTATTATTCACCATTCACAGTGCAAGATCTTGATTATGAAGCAAGGTTTTCAATTGCAGGATGTGACACTGGGGATGAATGGAGTGGAGAAAGTGAATGAACCCCCAACTGCAAATGGGAAACCCTTCCCTTCAATACGGCCCCTTGCACAAGCATACCAAACTGCAACAGCAGGCCAACAGGCATGGGAATAATTAATTTAATTTAATTTAATTATCTTTTAGGTCCACATTTCATTCCATCAACCATTTCCTGCTTTTCTATGTTTTCTCCCCCAATAAAACTGGAAATAACTGAATAACCCAAGAGAAAAAGTCATTCACATTTTGAGAAATGAACATTGTAACATACAATAATACATTAATTCTCCAGCAGCTTTAAAATGGCTCTGACTTTGCACCTGCACATAAGAATGGAGCTCAAATCACCCCATTTTCTTTATTTCCTTTTTTTTTTGTATATCAAAAGTGGAACCTTCATGAATCTTCTCCATGCATTCCTCTCAGGTTGCAAACAGGAGCAGTACACCTCAGAAGAAGACAAACCTGGTTTCCCGAGCAATGGAGTATGTGTTGGGCTGGTGACACCTCTTCATGTTAGGTCTCATTTTCTATTCTCATTTCTTTAGCTTTCTGGTTCTATCATGCTCAAAGTCTTGTTTTTAGGGTTTTGAAAGCTTAAGACCTTGCATTTGGTACCTGGTTGGAGCTGTTTTTGCTCTATGCCTTGTCAGAAAGATGGCTAAACATCATGATTTGACACTCCTAAATTAAATTTGACATGAAACATTTCCATTCCCATATTTTTCATAATTTCTTCCTTGACAATGATTTTGAACTGTCTGAAACTTTTGAACACATCTGATCCAAATCCTTATTGCACATGCAAGCAAGATCCTGTTATGCATCTGATTTGTTATGTCCAGGAAAATAATGCAGGAATCTGGATCAGTGGTCTGGTACGATCCTTAATAAAGAAAAGATTATAGAGAATATCAAAAAGTGGCATCTGCATTGTCTCAGTTCAAACTGATAGAATTCTCAGAAGCTTCTTCACTGTTGACGGTATGTCAACTTGCTGGTTGTAAAAAACAATGTGCTGGAGGTAGTTTTGTTCTTTTGTTGGAACATCTCTTGATTGTATCATCAGAATGGCATGTTGTTATGTATTGGTTCTGAAACCTGATTTGGTTTTTATGGGCTGGATTTTCAAAAAAAGGTTTGGAAAAGATCAAGAGCATCCCCACATGTCTATATAATATAATGCATTTAGGTTAATGGTTTTGAGTTTCATGATTATCCCAGTTTTAGATAGCTTAAAAGACGGTTTTAATCTATAGCACAATGATTCCAACCATCCTTAGAAACTCAGCCAAAAGCCATATTTTCAAAGTGAGAGCTGAGAATGGAGTTCCATAGTGCCCATTGCTCATAGCACCTCAAAAAAGGATTTTTATTTTTTTCCCCCATGATCAAATGCAAGCTGGCTCACTCATGCATTATGCATGAAGGTGTTCCTTGGAATGCCACATGAGACATTTGATAAATATTTATTAGGCTTATATATAACCCCTTTGCCCTATAGCGCAAGTATACTTGTTCTCAAACTGGCCAGAAATGTGTCCATCAGATATGCTAAGCTGTTACTCATATACTTAACTTTATCTTTTATTATGTGTTTTTGGAATAAAATGAAATCACATTTGACCCAAAAATTACAGTGCTCTCAAGGGACTGAAGTGATGATAAAAACCCAGCATGGGGCATGTGCTGTGCTATTAAAAACTTGGCAGTCAAAGGCAGGGCCGGCCTTAGACATGTGCCTCCGTACTGGGTGCAAATTCACCAGGGGCATCAAAATGTGCTCAATTAAATGAAGCTATTATGGATGCCACCCTCAGTTTTACTTCAGAAAGTGAAAATGCCTTCCATTTCAGCACCTTTTCAGATGCTAAGGATTGATCCCTCTCCCTTCTGAAAGGGGGGGCACATTGGGAGTCTCTTTGCACAGGGCACCGAAATGGCTAGGGCTGGCCCTGGTCAAAGGGCTAATGAACAAACAGGCAAATGAAATTGCCATATGCCTGTAGAATAATTTTTACATCCTGTTGAAGATTTCAAAACTAGATTATGTTTAATACTTAGAAATCCAATTCAATAATATTATTTGATATATATAGTAAGTTTTAATTGTGACAATGAGGTTGTCATTGTGTGATTATGAATAGATCCTCAAGTTACTCCTGTGATGGGTTATCCCTAGACCATGTGCTGAAATTGTATTCATTGTCTGTCAAAATAGGGTGCAAAAAAATTGAAACTGAAGATGGTGCTGGATTGTATGATGCAGCAGCATCCAAAATCCTCATGATGTTCCATCATTAATGACATGATGAGAGCATCATCATGTGCTGGTGTGCACCAAAAGATTCCTTTGCCAGATTCAAAAGGGAAATAACTGGTCACTTGATATTTGATTAATCAATCAAGCAATCCATTACTAATCATATGAAACTTTTATTTGTAGTCATTGCTGTAATTATGTCTTTTTAAGCAGGGAATGTAATCTAACTAAATATGGGACTTGTGCTACATAGCCTACTTAACCATGTAACTATCAATTATTTTTCTTAAATGGCTGCCTAAAGAAGACTTTCAGTTTTGTTTAGGCAGCCATTTTGTATGGGGAAGAAGAAAGATGGACTTCTTCCCAGTATACTGAGCCCATCTCTTGTATGGGTGAGTCAGCAGATGGGGTAACCTCAAATATATTGGGTTGTAACATATATTCCCGCCGTTTTTATATTTTGTTTGTTTTCACTCCATATTTTTGAAGTTTGGCAAAGTGGATATAGTCATTCGAAAGAGCGTTCTTTCATCTACAAACTTATTGC